CCCCCCCCAGGGCAAAGAAAAGCTCTGTGTGCTTTCCCTTTGTGCCAGGCTGTGAGTTGAAACTACTGCACCATTGCAGCAATTACAACATCACCAAAGTCATGAGGCTGGCTGTTTGTTTATAAAGAAGGGTCATGCTGAGTTACAGTCTACACAGGAAATGGGAGGGCCAGCAGGGTTTTTTTTCCTGCTGGTTGGCCTCTTATAATCCTTACTTTGCAAGCTAAAACATATCCCAGCAATGATTCAGTGTAACTTTGTTGGAGAAGCATCATCCCCTGGGAGGACTATGACAAGGAGGTCCCAGAACGAAAACAAACGCTTTGCTGGGTCTCTTCCAACGTCCTCTGCCGTAAGAGTTACGCATTCCCAAAGATGCCAGAAACAAAAATAAACACTGACAGAACATGACAAATCCTAAGGGTGTTTTCCTTCAGAGTATGTTCATTTCTTGCACTGTGCATTAAAAGCCTCACAGTTGTAAAGGGGAAGGGGGGAAGCAGGGGTGCGAGGGGGTGGTGTTGCCTTTTACCTGTGTTTCTCCAAGCTTAGCCTGTGGCTCACCCAGTTCCAGAGTCCCAGAGGCAGGCCAGTTCAGGAAGACAGCGTTGACTTTGCCTTCTTTAGGGCTGAAAGTGTACCTGGTTGGAAATGGGGCACAGGCATGCGTGTCAGTTTTTCCTTGTAAATTTTCTGAAGCGATTATAATATTGAGTGCTTTCAAGACTGGAAAAACAGATTTGAAAAGTTGGCATTAATTACATTCTCACACACATAAACTAGAGAGTTGGAGTCTCTTAATAGAGACTATAATAGATACATATATATATAAAATAGAGAGCCTCTTTAATCAAGACTATTAAAGAACTGACTTTTGAGGTAAACACCTGTAGTAACTTTAGCAAGCGTATAACAACTCACTGCTGCTCAGCCGTGTAGGAAGGAGGCACTTGCAGGGCAGGGGGAATCATTAACAGATAATTGTGGGTTATACGCAGAAAAACACAGTAACTCACATCTCTACACAAATATACAGACATTCCACTAAAAAAAAAATTTAACGAGTATGTGAGACATTAAAGCTTCCACCTTGCATAGCTAGTTTTTTAAAAATTTAATTTCAGCAGACATTATGTACAGTGTATCCTTGGATATCTTATGGCATACATTTGAAACATTCCTCCCTCCTTCCTTCATTTAGTTACAATTTTTTATTGCTCTTGGAATTGGTTTACTAAGGAGTCAACAGTTAAGCATTTCAAGGCTAAAGCCAGCTAGCCAAATCTTACTGGGAACGGGAGTAAAAAGGCCCACTGAGGCAAGAGAAGAGGGTCAAGACCAAAACCCTAATGGATCATTAAGTCATTACAGCAGCTATGAAGCACAAAGGCAGAGGAGAGTCCAGAGACTGGCTATATTTAGTGACCAAACAATAGCTGTTATCTTCCCATGCATTTTTGCTTTGAAAAGAAATGCAGAATATGCTAGACTGGTTTCTCATTTCTTCTCCCTCCTTCTCTCTAAACAGTGACGTCAAGTATTCCTTTGTAGGGATAAACACAGCAGTTTTACATTCCTGGATTATTTTTTTTTTTTAATACTTTCTGTTCCCAGCTACACAAAGCAGCACAACATCACTAAGGAAATGCCTGCAACCTTCCCTTCAGCCTCAGCATCATCCCGAAACTATGTTCTCTGACACCCATTGTCTACCTACGGTTTTATACACACAATTTTATGTGCAGTTGCTTGAACTGACAAAAGGGTTAATTTCTTCACAGCACACAAAGTAAGATGGTGATTTCTATAGCATAGAGTCGTTAAGAATTTCACATACGCTGCTGCTGCTTTACGCAGCCTACACTTTGGTTCAGTGGCCTTACCACACTTCTGGTGTGACCGTGTCGTTCTGTGCTCTCCATGGTTTCGTTCCATAGATGGCATCTCCGTTGACTTTCAGCCAGGCACCCATCTGCCTCAGGCGTTCCTCAAATATAACAGCGATGCGACCATCATGAGTGGGCCCGATATTCATCAAGAGATTTCCTCCACAAGACACTGTTTCTACAAGTTGCTGAAATGTTTTTAAACACATACACAGAACATATGGTTACAGCTAATGAAATCATGTATTTGAAGTTCTTCCTACAGGCAGGCACGCTGCTTCAGAACGGTGAACTGAACGAGTTATGCTACTGCTGCACGTTTAGATTTTGGGGATCATCCCAACAGCCAATACAAAATTTAAGCTCCCATGAAACAAAGCTCTGCTGTCAATTTTTATGACAGAAAACAGCCCCAAATACATTTTTGCACCAATATGTCTGACTGAATCTACATTAGAATCAGATCCTACAACCTCTTAATATTTTGACTTCTACAGGAATTTCATGAGGGTTTTACCGACAGAATGGATAGATGATTTCTCTATATGATAGGAGAATAAGGGTAATAGATGCCACTTTGTTTTTACTGAAGCCGAGAAGCAACTTCCTCCTCCTTCCTCTGTTTGATGCTCCCACTAGGAAGCCTTCTGCCGAGTCCATAAATATTTGTGTTCACATCCAGACTGCCCTCCAGAGATCACAGACTGAGATGCACAAGCCTGAGGAACAGATAGCTGGAGACAAGCTACTGAATGAATTTAAACCTTCTGCCTCTGAAGAGAGGTTACTTCAATTTGAAATTATCTTTTGCAAGGACAGTACCAGGAACAGATTTGGATTAAGCAACAGCAACAAACGATCTTCCCCTCACTAGCTGAATTTTGCAATTAAATGCTTTTATCTGAAAGATCGATCAGTCTTCCTTTCATTCAGTTTTCCTAGGCTTGAAATCTTTTTTTAATACCTTGGACTAGCAAAGGGAATCAATGTTCTATTAACACCAACTGTCTGCATCTGCTAGTGTTTATCTGAACGTCTGTAATGTGTGTTGGTTTTTTTTTTTTTTCTTCAAATGAAGTGGGATGAAAGGAAAGTTTCTCGCTACAAGGTAAAAAGATTCTTTAAAGCTATAAACTGTTTCTAGCTAGAAGAGGGGAAAAAAATGCAGCCTTCAATCAGGAGTTCCTAAACAGGACCTGTGAAACTGCAACTGTTCGCTTCTTATCAACTTAGAGTGCAGTTACTACAAAAACCTCGTAGAAAAGGTTATTATGAGTCTATCCAGATCAGTCTTTAGCCAGTTAGTTACAGGGGAAACAGCTTCTAAGAAACTGAGTGAATTTTTACTAGATAATTTTTCTCATAGTCCTTTCTATAAAATTAGTAAGAATTACATAGATATGCCATCCTGCCAGTGTTAGGCTGCAAATGAACAAAATTATCTCATCAATTCATTATTCAATTAAAATCATATTTTTTTATAAAAATAGATACGTTATTGGAATGTTGTATAGCATAATATAATGATCAGAAGGGACAATCGGAAGTTGCAACTCCTTGTCCCACTGTACGTACCTTCACCAAGTCCCCAGTTGTGAGGTAATCATCAAGTTGTGCGTTCCTCCTGTACCCCCATGACCTCTTGTCAATAGTCATACAGTTCTCCCACTTGTGGGGCAGGAGGTGGCCAGGGTTATACCTGTCACTACAAGTGTAGAAGCCGCCATGCGTACAGATGCTGCCAGCTCCCCAGCGGTCATTGGTCACGACTGTGTCCCGGACTGGACTGGAAACAGAGAATTTTTCAGTTTATGATTTTTATGCTAAAAAAACCCGCAGTCATAGCCAGGGTAATCCCTTCCCACACATGCACCTCTCTCCCAGAAACTAACATTTAGGATGACTTCTGCACTATTAATTTGTTACAATTAGACTAACTGTAATTTCAGGAAACCTAGTCGCATCCTTTCCTAGTAAAAGGTCCAGATGGGCATTTCTTAGGGAAACGTGCTGCAGGCTTTCACAGGAGGTCTGCCAGAAATTGGCCTGCACTTCACATCGCTGCCATATGTTCAGTCTGTGATGACAACGTACCCATATTCTCAAGTTATCCCGCTATCCTGTTTGCCTGTGCAGCAGACAATACTTAAGGAAGAATACGATTAGGTAGAATAGCCGCTACCATCTTAACTGATTTATTTGCAAACGTGATTAAAAATGTATGAAACAGTCTTTTTCTAAAGCAAGCTCTGATAGCTCTAGGGAAGACCCGAATTCTATATTTCAGGAAAATTAGTATTTAGTTAAGTCCTCATAAGTAGGGGTAACAGATTCCACAAAATATACAGAAAATGAGACAAACCAGACACAGAGCAGAATTTCAGATAAGGAGCTAAACCAGCATCATTATGTACCTGTCATTATACAGCCAAGCCAAGAAACCAGTACTATTCCAGTAAGTATCTGGCGCGTTTCCATCCCCATCAGACCAAATTATTTCTGGTTGGTACTTGGTCACAATTTCATAGAGTTCTGGTAATGATTTACTGGTTGGAAATGTTCTTGTCATAAAGACATTGGTGGCATCCTCAAGGAAGAGGGGATTAAACCATTCAAACAAGGAGTGATATAACCCAAAATGCAAGTCAGTCCTGTTTCTAACAGATGTTGCTAGTTCAGCCACAAGATCTCTTTTCGGTCCCACATCAACAGCATTCCAGTTCCAGGAATATTTGGATCCCCACAAAGTAAAGCCTGAAAAGAGAAAAATCAAAGGATAAGAAAGGGAAGCAGAAGAGGGGAAGTTGTATTTCCTCCTTCTGGGAAGTACTTTGCAAGCGCGTTGCAAAAAAATAGATATAAAGTAATAATAATCATATGTGTGATAGTATTGTTATCATGGTATAGAGTATGCCTATAATCTGTTTATGCATGATGATAATAGCCATAACATCAGAACACCATGCCAGATAATGCTTATGTATTTTTTTATTCATAGCCATATACATTTATATTTTTATATATATAAAAAGATTCAATTTTCCATTTCTGTGCTGCTTAGGATAATTATTACTTCTCCTTAATTATTCACTCCATTCATACGTCCCAATTAAATTAACCAAAAATACAGCAACTTCTGAGGCATCTACATTTTCACTGAACGTATCATATGCAAACTATGAATACACACTAAACAACTGGAAGACAAAATGCTTTCTAAGTCGCAGAATGCACAAACTATCATTTGCATTCAAAGACTATTCTCCTCCCTTCTGTTTAGATCTTACGCAAATGTTCACATGTCATTTGTCTTGACATTTATAACAGCTCAATCAACTACTTGGTACATGTATATAAGCGGAGCACAAAAACTCCTGAAAGAGTTTTTAAAATATCAGCGTTAAATATCATGTTTCAGACATCCAGCAATCCAGCACAAGCACTTAGAAGTACTGCACTGCAGACTTAGATCACTGCCAGAGGAGCTCCACTCTCACCTTCCAAGTGCTTTATACTCATTGCCTAATAAATCTTGCAATATTTTTGTGAACTGGATACATGTAATTGCATCAACTAGATAAACAAGCTAAAAAATTCACGCCCAAGGCTACAGGACAGACTAAATGAATCATGGTTCTTTTGAAGTCACTGGGAATTAAGCCACTGGCATCATCAAGATCAAGATTTTATGTGTGTTAGAGACAAGATTAAAATTCACAAGTTACCAGTTGCCAGTCTTGAACCCACATCTCCCCAAACACCAACAACAGTCACTGGATGTGTTGTCATATTGCATCTTAATATATTATGCTTTCTTTGCTACCATGTTTCCTTCCAACTACTTTTTTTTCCCTTTACTTTTCAGAGTATCTTACAATTATAGTGCCAAAAATCAATGGTGCCTGTGAAGTTCCAGACCTGGCTCAAGGTTTTGGCTTCTATGCACTGTATCAAAAAGAGCTATACCCTGTGTACATTTCTAACTCTGAAGTTTACTCTTGGAACATACTCTTAAATTCTTTGAAGAAACATACCGAGCTCGTTAACTGCCTGTACACAGCAGCTCTCCATACATGAAGTACTGCAGAATTCACTTTTGCAGTTCCTTGAGCAATAAACTGCACAATAAAAAATAAACTATGGCTCCTGCAGGAAGCTCAGCTGCCCCACCACTGCAGGCTGCCCTACCAACAGCAAGAGAGCAATGGCACAACCTATTTCTCCTTCTACACAAGCTTCATGGCCATAGTGTTTGCGTAAGAGCCAGGAAAACACACACACATTTCTTGGGTTGTTTGTTTCCTTTTTGGCTGGGTTGGGGTAGGTAAGCCTGCCTGGCTTTCTCTCTCTCTTAGCAGGCAGGAAAGCCACCTGGATTTTTCTTTTGTTGACAGAAAACTAACATTCACAGTTACTAACATTCACAAACCTTCCACTTACCTTCATGATGTTTCGAAGTTAAGACAACGTACTTTGCACCTGAAGCCTTCAGAATATCTGCCCACTGGTTGGGATCAAAGAATTCTGCTGTAAACAGTGGCCCAAAATCTTCATAACTGAACCCCGGTGGGTAATTCGCCTCCATAAATTTCACATAGGGCTCTCTCTTCTCCTTCTGCCAGTACCACCTACAAAATACAGAGCAAGAACATGTCTGCTAGTGCATTTTTAGACAAAGAAAATATATCTGAAATCATCAGCTCCTCTTTGCATTCACACTGAGAGGCACATGCACTGGAGGTACATGACACTGGCAACGGGGTAAAACTGCTTCAGAACATACCTGTATAAATTATCAAAGATTTCCTTTTCTCTGTCCTCTTTCCCCATGCTCTGCTTCTTTCAAGCGCTCCACTTAGGAAAGATCCCAGCATTTCATCTGGAGCAACGTCACAGAGCACCTATACTTGGCAGCCTTATTCAGTACCCAAATCCTGAAACCATACTAGGGAGCACAGGTCCACACAGGTATCTCAGGTGGCACAAGGAATGCACTCTTCCAGACTAACAACTCAACCTCTTCAAGTTTCACATATCAGCCATCAGGTGTCTCTGCTCTGCCCCACACACTGCAACACCTGCAACACATGGGACAGCAGCTTCACCTCTCTGCAGGTCCAGAGTCCCCTATGCCAAACGCAGCTGAGTGACCTGACATGTGAGCGGATGCCCATGGTCCCAGAGCAGGAGAGAGCTGTGACTGCAGGCTCTGAAGCAAAAGCAGCCTACTAGAAGGCACATCCTCCAACAACAACCTGCCTCTGCAAGAATCCCACATGCTTACAAATGCACCTCCGTTACAGGCTCTAGTACGGTCCACTGGACCAACACACACAGATTTAGGAATCAGAAAGAAAAACAAGCTAACAGTCTCTTTTTGCATCCCACCTAGCAAAGGCAGGGACAGTTTCTACCCTGTGTTTCCCCATCACATCAAGTCCTGAGCCAGTATGGTCACTGTTCCGACTGGTCTAGTCCACAGCAAGTTTGGAGCTTTGCTCTGTGGTCTGAGGGCGGCTTCTCACCCTCATGACAGGCAGAGATCATAAATCACCAACACAGTGCTATTTATTTCCAACCTGCTCCATCCCTCCCCTACCTAGCAATGAAAGAGGAGCTCCAGAAACAGCATGCAACAGTCCTTACTGCATCAACAGCTTTATTGCTGGAGACCTTCTAACAACAACATACGCTGTGACTGCCAATACTTACAGGAAAAGAGTCTGTAAGCATTCACCTTTCTATGAATGAAGCCAAGCAGCAAAAATTCTGTTGGCAAATTGAGACATAAATGAAAACAAACTGCAAGTGCAGGAATAAAACAGGCCAGAACCTGAATGTTTGAAATGTGTTTCTCTCTCCCATCCTGAGCTAGACTCTGACCTCAGTTCTGTAACACCACAGTAACCTATGG